TGAAAAGAGATGTGAAATACATGGGTCAGGGAGGACCCTCACACACTAAAAGGCAGGAAAAAGAAGGCAAGACTTGATATCTATTGCACCTATGGTAGTTAAGTAAATATTCTGTTAAATACTTAGATCCGGCCATGCTTTTCGTGAGCCCCACAAACAAAAATTATGCTCTTATGCCAGCATAAACATAAGCAATTCAAATCAATCCAAATATCTCACCTTATCAGGATGCAAATACACTTTGTCCCGGAAGAGGAGAACAACCCCAGCCTCATCAAGAACCCTAGCAAAAGCTGCAGCCTCTTCAGGACTCCTGGCAATCCCCATGCTCTCACAGGCCTCAAGAAGCTCAGAATAGCAAATAACTTCCTTCCCTTCCATACCAAGCTTCATCTTGAGGGACTCCACATTCACCAACCTCATAAGCTTCTTGGCTTCCGAGAATGATATAAAATCTTCTCTTTCATTACCATTACTGACACCCCCACCCCCAGTTGAAGTTGATACACCCCTCTTTATTTGATTCAACAGAAAAGATAAGGGCGTCATTTCACCACCACCCCTTCTTCCACCACACATCAAAGGAGGATCAAAAGGATGAAGTTTTTCCCTATGACCATGACTAACACTACCAAATGCAGATACCCTTTGCCTTAGAAAACCCCCACCAGCACACCACCGCCACCTACCCCACATTTTACCAGAGCCCAGATAAAAAAAATCCAAACTTTATGAGAAAAACACCAGCATCACAAAAAATCGACACTGGCCAGTAAAGTCACCACCGTGAAAAATCAACAACCTTCATCTCCCCTCTCATCTGAAACATTCAAAACATAATGGTCACTAAAACCGGTGCTCAAAAGTAGCAACTTCCAAAAAAGGACTGGCAAACAAGTATACTTTAATAAAAAAAAAATCCTAAGAAAGAGAGAAAGAATCTTTGTGTGTGCATCTGGAAACTTTCATAAAAAAAAAATTACCTTCAAATAGAGAGAGAAAGGAAAGAAGGAAAGACAAAGTAATCGGAGAAGGTAAGAGAAAGAAGAGGAGAAAGTGGATTACGACGGATTTGCTACGTAGAAATACTCGTTAGGTGTGAATCGACGTCGTCGTCAACAACTTTGGGTAACGGTTATTAACGGAGAAAGGCGGAGGATAGGGTTGATGAGTCAGACAGGGAGTTGTGTGGGTCCCAGGAATTAGATTGAAATTCATGCACACGCCATAGACTCGCTTCTCACTTGTCTGACTTCAATGTCTCTGTATTGGGTCCATTTCGTGACCTTACAGTTTTAGAGGTCAGATTAATCTAACGGTGGAGGTTAAATGCTACAAGCTTCCATTTTTATGACAAGAGTGTCATTTTCTTTTTTTCTTTTTCAGAGAATTAATTGGAATGAGGTTTCAGAATAGTTATAAACTATTGCTGTTTCAAAAGATTGCGTGATAAATTATATGACACATTTTCTTTAATTCATAATTTTTTTTGTTTAATTTCAATAAATTTATATTATAAAAATTTAAAATATTTGAAATGATTCCGTCGAGATTTAAGGTCTTACAATCCATTAGATACAATTAAAAAATTGTTTATTTTGTGAAAACGTTAAATAATTTTGTTTGATCTTATATTTTGAGCATTCACTTTTATTAAATATTTAGATGGAAATTTATTGGTCTAGTTTAACTTAATTAAGATTGTTATAGTTGGCCTCTCTAAACAAAAGGCCTGTGTTTTTCTTTATTATGACATATATATATATATATATATATATTAGTTTATTAAAAAATAATCATGTTTAATAAAGATACACACAAACAAAATTGCACCAAAAAATAAGTAAATAAAAGTTTAAAATAAATTTGGAAGCCCTTTTTTAGAGCCATTTATTAAGAGATTAAAAGATTGTCGGTGATAAAATAAGTGGAGTTCGAAATATATTTTTTGAGTTTGAAACACAATATTATAAGTAATTCAAACTTATTTTTCCGCACTGATCTTTAACTCAACTATATTCAAGTTTTCTTTAATATACGTTAAAAAATATCTCTGATAATTAGAAGATTATATAATTATTTTACACTATGATTATTTGATGGTGGATATGGAAGTTGAAGACGAAGAGGTTGAAGATTATGGACGAAACTTCTACTCCATTTCATTAACCCTAAGTGATTGTATCATATTGTAATTGATTACATCAACTTCTAATGGATTCGTTGTTATTTCATTATTTATTATTTTCTTTTTAATTCTAGTATATTAAATAATTTAAAAAATCTATAGATATTATTTTATATTACTTTTACAATTAAGAACAATTTAATAATTTATATTTTCTATTTATTGAAAAATCTTTTTAATTTACCGTATCAAACAAATTTCTTACCTACTTACATAAACTTTATACTATCAATCATCTGTAAATTTAGAAAAGAAATAACACATAATGTATTCTTAAAATCCTCGTAAATTCATTCACCTTTTTCTACAAATCATTTATTTTAAACGAAGACACCTTAGTTCTAATTTTTATTTCCCTCAAAACAATATATATATATATATATATATATATATATATATATATATATATATATATATTATTTTTTACCAGATCACCCATATATTTATTACTTTCACACCCATGTTTACAGTAAATAAATAATGTTATTGAAAGATTTAATGATAAAATATTTGCGTTATTTGTATTGATAAATGCTTGATTCAGTATATTTAATTATTTTGATGATTTAGAAATTGAGATAAAACACAAATTATATATATATAATTCTAGAAACAATTTAAAAACTGTAACGGAGTTTTCAATTTTAAAATGAATAATATTTTAATTAATTTTAACAAAAGTTAATGTTGGAAAATGAGTTGTTTGTAAAGTAAGATACCTTTGTTTGCAGCCTCGAAACCCACAGTATTTTATATGTTAGATTGATTGACAATCAGATTTTTTTTTTCTATTTTTGGAACTTATTTTGTATAAACCAAATTTTTTAAACATCACCAAAATCAGCACATTTTTTAGAAAACGTAAGTTATATAAAATAAAATAAGAATCGATATAATTTAAAACTTCACTGAAATTGTGTCAGCCGAAACAGACTTTTCAAGGCCATTCAGCCTTCCACAAACTACTTATGGCAAAAAGACTCTTAGGTCAAATATATAACAAATTCAACTTTTGTATAATGTAAGTGGTCCTCACTGATCGGTATTGTAATTAATTTATGTATCAAAATAGTTATGTTTATATCTCAAATATATCATAATTAAATATAAAACGATGACCACTTTTTTATTTACATGCTTAAATATAATTTTGGTTTCTTTATTTTATTTTTTATTTTTTATCAAAATTTTATGAAATAACATTATGAAAATTTATTATTACAACTATTCTTCGCTTTAAAGTTTGTAATTTCATTATAATTTCATTCTTAAAAAGTATCTCCAAAAAGAAAAATATTTAAACGGTATATATCAGAATAATTTCAAATAAAAATATTTGGTCTTCTATTTTATAAATTTCAAAAATTTTGTCCAATTTCAGTTTCATTTATATTTATTTCACACATTTAATTAATTAAACTATTTTAATATCATCTTAAATATAAAATTTAATTAAATCAAATAATTGTGCATGTATAAGAAATACTGCACCTGTTTACTGTGAATTAGTTTAACATTTAAAATTTTAAATTCATAAATTAGAAAAAAAGAAATTATTGCATAATTAAAGTACTAATTCCTAGATACTATAATTGAATTTAGTAGGCATGTATTAAGAAAAGTTGAAACATGGATACAAACAAGGAATGTGGACCTGTGTTTTAATTTTGGACAGGGGACCGCAGAAACAGTTGTCAGATTCAGATCATGCTTACATCTTGTCAATAATATTAATTTCATATAACTTTTTAATGGTAATGTATAAATAAATAAATATTACAAAATTTAATTAATATCAAAATTAAATTCAAATATTTTACTTTAGAATTAACAACAGTAAAATAATTTTAAACAATTAATTAATAAGTTTCTCGATTTAAGATATATTTTTCTCAATTAATTAAACATACATATATAATTGGTTATTAAAATAATTATTTTAATCACTCCGGAGAGGTGGTTTCTTCTTTATCAACTAAAGTGAAATTATAAAACAAATAAAGAATTTGGTTGTGGTCGGAAAGCAAATCCAAACCAAAGATTTCTAAATAAAAAAGTTATCCAAAAAATGTTGAGATATTGGATTTCATTTTAGGGCTTCTTTTTGTTCATATTCTTTCTATCCATATTTTAACTCCGTTACAGATTGACATTGACTCTGTTTGGACTGTTTCAAACATGAATAGATTCTTGAAACTGTATCAGACTTTCAATTTAGTCATAAAATTTAAATAAATAAAAAATAAACGTGTGAAACAGAAATTATCTATAAAGACATCTTATTTATTTACTAATATTCAAGGACTGATTGGGAAAAAAATGCAATTTAAAAAGACCGAAAAGATCGTCGGACCGAAAAAAACATTATGCCAAAAAATAAATTTCAATTATATAATTTGAAAGTTAAAAGAATCTTCCAAATTACAGAGTCTAAAAACTTTCTTTTTATGCAAAAAAAATAAAAATGACTTAATTGTCCAATCTAAAAAAAGAATAAGATTCAAATTGGCCAATTCGAGAAGTTTCTTTAAACCCAAACAAGCAGTTTCCCCTGTGCTAAAAAGATCGTTCTGGGAAATGCTAAGTACTTCATATCTTCCCAAAAAATAATAAACTTTTTAAGACACCCAGAATTAGGCTAATGCAATAGCCTTACCATACTCATGTCATTTTGTGGAATAATAAACAGTATAGGAATGAAACTGAAGCATGAGTTGTATTCAATCCAATGTCATAATGGTAAACGACAAGGTATGATAGATGCTACAGAATTTTTGAACCATGTAATGATATATCTTTGTGGTTTTAATTTTAACTTTTGCTTTCTTTACTGATTCAGAATACATGTATGTAATCACAACAATATATTCAATTTCTAAAAGGCAAATATACAGCATATACCGTACTGAATCTTTTTAGAATGTTAAGAGGAAAAAAAAAAGTTAATCACAACTGTACTAAATGAATTCAATGGCCATTTAGTAGGCTCACTTGCCATGCTTTGCTTTTGAAAGAGTTTTAACCAAACCCTTGGCAATCTTCCAGAACCAAAACAAATTCATAATCGTCAACACAGGAGGCACCACAACCAAGGTATAAAACCCCAATGGGAAGATCTCATTGACCTGAAATTAGGGAGAAAAACGTTGGATTTTATCTACTAAATCATAATCAAAAGGGAAATTGTGATGTATGTTTGATGAGGAATCAGAGAAAACGCTCGCCTCATCAAAATGGGTCCACATGTGGACAAAAAAGAATATGAATAGGAAAATCCTTGCAATCTGCAGCACAAAAGATATAAAAAGGGTTAAAGCAAAACCACCAAGTAAATTTGTTCCAGACTTCCATCATTACAATCATTAGAGTGAGGGTCAGATCACAGCAAAATTTGAACTCTTTTCTTACATATATAAGAGCTAGTTTCTATTTGGGATCAAACAGTATGACAGAAGTGAACAAAATTTTACTTTGAGAAATCAGAGCATTGAAATGTGTCAGCACATGACATCATGCAAATGGAGGTAGCAAAATAAAACAAAAAAACTCTTAGCAGATCAGTGAAGGCGCATAAGTTGCAACCACCACTATCACCACTACTCTTACTTGCATTGCCACAAGCGTTGAGCTATTGTCACAGCCCTTGTTACAATCATCATCAACACTCACTGTGACAATCTCACCACAAAACCAACATTGTTGTTATGGCTGCAATTAATGTTGTCACTGCAAAAACTATTATTATCATTATTGTGCTACTATCACCATTTTTGTTGCCAGTATGACCACAACCCGTTACCATTATCATTGTCACCATTGTCATTGTTATTACCATCATTACGTTCACTACTGCCAATATGACCACAACTCATTACCATTGTCATTGTCACCATTGTCATTGTTAATACCATCATCGTGTTCACTACTGCCTCTACCTTCATGGCATCACTATCGTCACTCTTAACACTACTACAATTGACATTATTTCCATTGCTGGCACACCCACGCCCAACTATAGCCACTATCACAATGGTTATCATAATTGCGAGTAAACTCATTGGAGTTTACAAGTCCACATGTACAATGTGGGTTAAGTCATTGGTAAACTCTTTTTTATTTAGAGTAGACACCAGAACTCAAGGCAAACTCATGCTAACTACCTAGTTTACTTTGCTGGTTAAAAAATCAACCGAAAAAAAACATCCTCGGTGTTTAGGACCCAACAACCCTAGCTAAATTTTGCATCTTGATCCAAAAACGAAGAACCTTCCTATCCAAGGGATGGAAGGCAGAAGCCTGCCCCCTCTAGTCAAGGAGTTAAGGTCTTGCAATGAGTAGTCAATATGTTTGCTTTTCTCTCATGCTTGTTTTTGTTCATGGTTTCTTATTCTGGTGGCCAAGGAATATAGGAATCACACCAATCCATCCTGAACTTGGTGGTTAAATGCTAATGAGGTGACGACAATATTTATTAATCCTCCTTCCATTTTGTGTATCAATCTAAATATGAAGGCCTCCAAAGTCCAGCTTTGCTTCTTCTCTCCCAATCGCAAATCACACTTTTCCCTCAAAGTAACAGTTGCAGATTTCTTTCAATCTCACTAATGGAAGTTATTATTTTCCCTATTTGTCATTTGGTTCCAATATGTTGAAAGTTCCTTTGCACTCTCTGTTGTTGGCTGGTTCATTCACGTAATACATTGCAACCCATATTTAAACACCATAACCTACCTAATTTGATTTTTTAGAAGCCTCTTAAAGCTCAAAGAAAAAATTATAAAAAAACCACAAGAAACATAAGCAATTCCTTCAGGTACTACTATAGTAGAATTCAAATTGAGACCAAAAGTATATTATACAGTACCAACCACCCGAAGAACAATGCAGCGCCATTCCATACGTAAAGCTTGGAGCTCTTAAGACCAGCAACGTCCAAGTGCCTGTACATGCACAATTAATGTAACAAGTCAATGTTGACTCACGTTCATTAGATGACAGAGTTAGAGTCTGAACAACAATTACCATCTTAGATTTACAAAAGGAGTTGTACTCTCAGAGAAAAGAACCATAAGGATGTAGATCTGTCCTTGACCACTCAGCAAAGATTGAATAATTGAAAACATGGACAGCCCGTGGTGTAAAACCTAAATACGAATGAGTTTAGTTTACCACCTTCTAAACAGAAAACCTAGAGACCGAGAGCATTCATTACTTACGTATTCCACACCACCTAAAGCTGGAAAATGCCAAAGAATCATTGCCAGATCAGCTAGAAAATAACCTATAGAAATCTGTAAAAAAGAGAGGAAAAGTATAGAAGACAAAATCACAAATAAGCCAACAGGACAATCATTACTTTACAAGGCAAAACAATAATGTTAACAACAAGAATAAGAGACAGAAAAACATATCAAAAAAGAAGAAACAGAAAAATTAAGAAAAGAGTGACATGGCACTAAGATTAAGAATGCACCAGCAGCATGTGCATCAGATCAATATGGAACTAAAGGGTCGCTTGACATTTCTAACCCTGGGTCCCAACAAGTAATATTTACAGTGCACAACTTGAGGGGTACACCAAGCATGCAGGAACCTTTTCTCTTCCAATGAGCAAAACATAAAATGATTTATCCCTCTTACATTTATTATAAAAGCTACACAATTTAGAACTGAATGCTCCTCAAGAAAAGACAGGTTCATTCTAAAAGCACTGCAACTTTAACAAATCTAGGCTTCAGCATTCAGTACTTGGTACCTAAAGAAGATTAACAGTAGAACTACATGAATATTAAATAATAAACAGAAAATACTACAATAACAAGTAATAGAATTCCCCTTTTCAGTCTGTATATTTTATCCGTACCCTCACATGCATCATGATCATTTTAGCCCAAACTTAGTTAGAAATTAGAATGAAAAAGAATTTAAAATCAACATCTGATAAATCAAACAAGTTAAATTTTGCTAATAATATTGTCTTCAACATACCCCCAGTACCGAATTTGAGAAAGTGGATGATCTATTAATAACAAGTTCTTCTTGTGAATCCTTTTTGAAGATGTCTGATAACACCAGAAAGTAAAATGACGCAAATGATACAAACAGAGCATGAACAGTTGAGAATCCCCTGCATAGGCAAAATGTCCAAAAGTTAACATAAAAAGTCAATCATGAACGGAATAAATTAAAACAAATTTTTATACAGTTCATTTTACCGGTTATTCCATTCAATTTTCTCTGCTCTATTCAATTTGCCATATCCCGCAAACAACAGGGAACTCAAATTGGCAGTCAATCTATAAACCTTCAAGAAGGACATGAGGAAAGGATCAATTGTTAAACATAATAATCTCCAAGACTATAGATCTTTTAGTACCATTCATCTAAACTGACCATATATATATATATATTTCACAAGAGCAACTAGAAAAGGTAACGAAATAACACTATATGAATGTATAAAAATCCAAAACGTTAAACACACTCAAATAACCAAAAGTGTTAAGACTGAGGGATTTGGAGCTAAAAAAAATAGCTAGAGTTCATTTCTACCAAGACAAAATATAGTGAACCAGAAATTACTTTCAAATACATTTTCAGATTGTTATTAAGTGAAAATCCAATTGGATTTGATAGCCATGAAGCAATAAACTCACTCAACATAATTTCAATATATATACTGAAAAGCAAAAGCATGCAGATCTAGTGAATAGCATTAAACTCTAATGTTAAATATAATCTTCAATTGCTATGTTGACACTTGACAACAATTTATGCATTAAATATTTTGCTAAAGTAGTAAAGCATCCAATTTTCCTCTGGAATTGTTGTTAAAGGAATGAGGTCACCATCTATGAAAAACTATATCGAGAGTGATATGCAGTAAATAAATAGTGAACCATGTTTATTGAAATGAAGAAGTCAGCAGAGCACCTAAAAAGAAATCTTTCTATCTTAACAAGAATGAGACAGTTGCAGCCTCAGTCCAAGGATATCCCAAAATTACCACTTGACCCCGTATCTACAAAGCCTTTACCAATTACTTAACCATAAAGAACGCACACGAATACAAGCTCCTCCTATTCAATTGAAATACATGTTTGCTTCTTCACCACAGACCACATAAAAATAGGCACCATCATTTTAAAGATGCCTACTCCTCAAATTGTATCCCAAACCTATAGTATTAGTATCAAAAGACTAAGAGCGATTCCTAGTCCACGAATGTCATATCCCATAACTGATCCTGCTTTTGGATAATGACATGCATGATTGTCAAATACCAATTTCCTCATATATATTTCTGCATTGAATCTTCATCTGCGTCATCAACCATCTTATTTCAATTTAAGTAAAAAGCATATCCCTAATCCCTCCCCACCCCCTTCCCTCCTTTTTTTCTTCTTTTCCTTGTGATCCTCTGAAAATGATATTCCATTCTGCTCCTCTATCAATACTTCAAAATCCTAATTTGGTCCACAGAGAAAAAAGAGGAATTTGCAACATAAAAGACACTGAGAAAGTGATGAAAAGCTCATTTACTTACAATAACACAGAAGAAGACACCAGTGAAGACAGACCCCAGCCATTGAATTTCTTTGGTTGGGGTAGCAACGTCATAGGAGGAAACCGAACCAACCAGGGAACCAAAATAGAAAGTAAATCCCATCCAATCAACTTGTTGAAAGTGCTAAACTGCATCAAACACATAATGCATAAGTGCCCCCACAACAGCAAAGGAATCCCATTGGAAACAAACAATAGAGGGTGGAATCCCCACTCAACAAAAAACTGCAGCAAAAAAAAAATTCCCGTGAGTCATGGAAAAGGAAATCTTGTCTACAATAGTTGCCTGTTATTTCATTTGCACCCACTTCACGTGACTTTTAGCACAAGTTGATCAATCAAACCATGATGACCATAGGAAAAGGCAATGAAGAAAACTTCTTGGCAAACAAACCAGACAGGTAACAGGACAAAGGGAAAAAGTCAATTTATTACATCATGTTCATTTTAATATTAATTGATATAAAAAGAATAATGATAATGATCATACACAAAATCAACATCATACCAAGAAGAGAATAGATAAAGAAACAAGAAACAAAAGAAGGATCAAGAATAAATTTTCTTAAGGAAAAAGAAAATGAAATAAATCGAAAGAGAATAATTAGGTGACCCGTTAGAAGCAAGTACAGTCATTGAAATGAAGCTTGAAACTTTAGCACAGAGAGAAAAAGATTGAGACCTTAGCTGAAATGGGATACTGATCGAGACCAAGAATTGCGCAAAGAAGAAGAGCCTATTCGGCCATCTCAACGGAACATCAAATTCTTCCTTATGCTCAGTCAAAACAATATGACTAATTGTACCCTTTCTCTGTCAACAGAGTAATAATAATTAAAATCTACCAAAAAAAATTATATCTTTATGATTCTGGCCCAACTAAAAAAAGTATTGAATTTGATAAGAAAATTATATTTACAAGTTGTATTAAGTAATTTTTGTTAGGGTTACAATATTATTTTTACGGGAAAATAGGAGTGAAATTAAACAAAATAAAAAATTGAAAATAGGAGAGAAACTGGCTTTACAAAATTTAGTTTTGAGTTTTTGTTTTTGTGAATGAAAACTCAAACAAGAAAATCAATAACTATTCAAAAGTATCATATTCTTTAAAATTAGTTACCAACAAAATTGACATCAATGACAAAATTAGAAAAATTACTACTAATAAGAATAACTACAACATTAAACTGGAAAATTTTAAGAAATTTATTCAACAAAATATACACAATTTATATCTTAGAATAAAAAGGTTGATAAGACTGTTATTGTTTTGGTTCAGAACATTTCTTAACATGATGTTAAACTTCTTATCTTTCTTTTCTGTATTTGACCAACAGTGTTGTAATGATTTAGTAATATATTTAGATTAAATAAGACATTTTTTTAAAAAAGTAAATTATATAAAAACACGTAACCATTAACTCTCTTTTTTCATTATTGTATGAACAGACAAAGTAATTTAAAAATATACATAGTCGATGTCATGTTTGTAAGTAATAATTTACTTAAAAGCCCAAAATCTGAGTTTTAGATGCTCCGAATCACCTAAACCAAACCTCAATATTATACTTAGAAGTTCACATACATATAAGCTCTGGCAGGGAAAAATTGCAGCATCTATGCATGTGGAAAGAATTTGGTTATGAGCATAAAATATTGTAAGCTTAAATTGTAAGCAAAGAGGGATTCCCTACATGTATAAAATAGAGCGTTGACCAAAGAGAAAATATGATAAAATAAAGAAGAAGATTAAGAGAGGAAGTGATTGAGAAGATGTGATGAAGAAGAAGAAGAAGAGATGAGAATGATCTTCATCACATTGAGTTAGAATAATGGTTTCCTGAGGATTGTTGATTTGGAGCATGGCTGTGTCTGTGGTTAAACCAGAATACTGTAAGGGAAACTAACCTTCTTTTCTGATGCAACCATTAATAGTTTGAATCCCAACCACACTTTCTTTGGTGGCTAATTCAGAAGCTTTGAACCCACAGGTTCCTCTGCATGCATTAACACTAATTATTCGGATCACTGCTTCCAAAACTCTCTCCACAAACACACAAAACACTACTACTTCTCTCGCCCACCTATTCTTCTTATTTATCTCACTTTTCCTTCACATTATATATAGCATATGCTGTGAAAAGTAATAATATATTAGAAAACATAGCAAAAATTTAAAGTAATTCGCTTAATTACACAAGAAACAAAAATGATAAAGGTATTTTATATCAATTATATCAAATGAATTTTCAATCATTTATTGTTTCTCCCAAAGTCTCTTAAGAATTCAGTAACTAGACAATTTTTTGGAAAAATTGTCTTAAATTTAATTAAAAGATTAACACTTCTCAAATCAAATATATACATCCTCACATTATCGAACTTGTCCAACAACTCTAATACAATAAAATGAGTTTCGTATACATTAATGATTCTTTACTCGATTAGATGCTAAAAACGTTCATTTCTTTCACCACTTCGTACTTTCAATTATATTATTTGGTTATGATAAGAGTTTACATATCTTTTCAAATTTCTTAACTTAATACTTATATTACGCATCAACAAACGTTATAGTACTTTCAAGATAATTACGGGTTTTGTACGTTATATCAAAACAGCTAATCTCAATCGATCACATTTATTATATAATTCATATAAAATATTTAATCTAAATAAGTTTTTATTTTTAAATTAGAAACTAATTTAGAATCAATAATAATAATTAATTAACAATACAAAAAATTCCTTAACTATGAAAAATTTCTCGGTATAATAAAATTTACGAATAAATTTTATCGATGAAAATAAATTCGATTTAATAAATTAGAATTTAAATTACTGACATAAATATTTTATCAATAAATATTCCTTGATGAAGTTCATAGATAATCTAGAGGTGGTAGAATGGGGAAGCAGTGTGAACAATGTAAAGAGGACAGCGATACTAGTGTGTTGACGACAACGTCAGTAGAATGACTGTAGTGGTGGCAGTGAAGGAGAAAAAAAAGAAGAGGATGAGGGGGAGAGAAGGAGGAGAAGAAGAAAGAAGAGAAAGATGAGAAAAAGAGAAGTCGGTGACGAAGCTGGAAAACACAATAACTGAACATTTATTATTAAAGAAGAAACTTGATGGATCAGTGGAATAAATTCGATCAACAAACTTATAATAATTTTAAAAATATTAATTTTGAGTTTATTTGTCTTTTTATAATTTTTTTTCGAGTTTTTTACATAGCAAAATTAGGCTGTTGTTTAGTAGGTTTGGAAAAAATCATAATACGCAAAATTTTAAAATTAATATGGGGCGCGTCATTGATTTAATATTCAGTTTTAACCCATTAGAATTAGATTGTAGCATATTTAGAAAGGTTGAATTACGATATTCTTTATAAAAAAATGATTTGTAATTTCTTTAAATAGTTGTATGTGTTACAACATATAAAATAGTAGAAATAAAATTTTAAAAAGAGAATAGTTTTTTTTATGGTGATCACTAGTACACTAAAGGAAAACGACAACGGTTATTTTCACCTATAAACCAAACGGTTCTCGTCCTCGCCGAATGGTGCTCGCCCTCACCGAACAGTGCTCGCCCTCGCCGAACAGTGCTCGCCCTTGCCGAACGGTTCTCGCCCTCGTTGAGCCCTAGCTGCGTCATCGCGGTTCTTTCGCTGCCATCGCAGTGCCCTTGTCGTGCCCTCGCCTCACCATCGTAGTGCCCTTGTCGCGCCCGTGCCTCACCATAGCCAGCTCTCCCAGGTTGGTTGTCTACGTGAAAGGAAGAAGAAAGAAGCTTGAAGCAAGTTGTTGAGAGAAGTCTTAAAAATGGCAAAGAAGAGATTAGGAATAGAACCGCTCGAGATAAATGGTAGAGAGAAGAGATTGGGAATAAAACCTCTGAATAGGGTTTGTTGAGAGAAACCAGCAATAGGGAAAAAATTGGTGTTTCCCTTCTCTGCAATACCAACCTAGAACCAGTGAGAAAGGGGAAAGAAGATAAATGGCAGAGAGAAGAGATTCGAAATAGAATCAAACCTCCTTTGCCGCGAATTAGAACAAAGAGAATAAGAGGAACAAGATCCCTAGGTTGGAGAGAAGAACTTCTTTGGAGGCGCGAAAAGGAAGAGGAAGAACACTACGCGAGAAAATGCGTTCCCGTTTAGTGTTATGAATTTGAACTTACGCAGGGGCTATTACCTCGGTTAAGGAAAAGATCGAGGCCGAACGGTACTATAGGCCTCGGTTCGCGCCTAAACCGAGACATAATAATGCCTTGAAACGTTCAGTTCGCGCCAAAACCGAAGCCGAACGGTCCTATTGCCTCTGTCCCCAAACAACCGAGACAGTATTAGTGGACAAAATGAACTTGGAACGTTCGGTTCCAAAGTGTCTAGCAGGACATACTGCCTCGATTCATAGCAGAACCGAAGCCGAACGGTCCTGTTACCTCTGTTCCCAAACAATCGAGACATATTAGTGGACAAAATAAACTATTGGAACATTCGGTTACTGCCTCGATTCATAGCAGAACCGAAACCGAACGGTCCTATTACCTCTGTCCCTAAACAACCGAAGCATATTAGTGGACAAAATGCTTGGAACGTTCGGTTACTGCCTCGGTTGATAGCAGAACCAAAGCTAAACGATCCTATTGCCTCGGTCCCCAAATAACGGAAGCCTATAATTTCTTCATAACAATGAAAATGCCCCCGCAGATTTATATGGTTAAAAAAACATTTTTTTACTGGTGTGAAAAACCTGCATTTTATCATGGGTCTCTAAAAGCTGGTTTTTTCTTTCAAACAAATTAATTATATTAGAAATTATTTTCACGAAATTTTAAAAATAAGAACGACTTTCTTTATGATTGATTACTTTAAAGTATATTGCTGAGAAATTTAAAGTTATTCTTCAACGTGATTAATATCTTGTATTCATAATTGGCCTTGGCATCAGCAAAAGGTGAGTGAGTGCATGCAGCATAGAATCTATTCATGTGGATAGAATTTGACTAACATAAAATATTGTTAGCTTAGTTTCACAGCAATGAAGTGGAACATTGCCTATTGCGGGCTTCTTCATCTCTATATAATATAGTGTTGCCCTAGGCCTATGTATCATCATCAAGGAAAAAAAGATTGAAAAGATATACTATATATCATTATGATGAAGAAGGAATACACAATAATGATCTTCATCATATCTGCTAGTTTTTAGCAAAGAAGGGGTGCCAGTTTCCCAGTGTTCTTGTTGATTTGGTTCCAGGTTTGAGTCTCAATTTCCAGCAACAACAACAAAAAATGGAAAACAAGTGCGTTGAACTTGTTTGTCAGGATATCAGAAAATATATGGTTTTGAAGATTATAGATACTACGGATCGTTATACTATACAATATATAGATACTACGGATCGTTATACTATACAATATACTGGGGCTGTTTTGGATAGTGATAACAGCTACAGTGCAGGAAGCTTAAGCGTTTCGGAGCCTTCACGATCATCATCATCGATATCATGCAACCAAAATAAAGGTACAAACGACTCATTTAAAAACGGTGTCAATGGGAAACAAAACTTTTCTCATGCAAGCCTTAATAGTTTCAACCCCAGCCAAAATTTCTCTCATGCCACGTTTCAAAGTGTGGCACATTCAGAAAGTCTGCGTTCATCTACAAGAATCGGCACTAGCTATTCAGATTACTCCATGCAAAATCATTTCTCTCTTGCAAGGTCCGCAAATTCAGACAATAGTGACTTTCCTACCGGCCCATCCATTGTTGTTGCTCCCATTATTCATCATCATCATTATTATTATCGTTAATGGTCTATCCTTTTGTCAAGTCGTCAAAGGATGTTATATATATATATATATATATATATATATATATATATATATATAAATTTATAGAATTCTCTTATGTGAAGAAGAATAAACACCTTCTGTCGTGAATGAAATAAGCTATTCATTTATCTGTTTTCTTTTTTCATATATTTACCATTTTGAATTATTATCCAACAACATATATTTTCAAAGAAAATGTGTGACTTAAAGAATGAACAGAGTACAGTGCTGAGTAGCTATCATAATTAGTTCCAAAAGTTAAGAAATTTCCATTTAGAAATTCACAATCCCGTGTGTTGACCTTGAAACCATTAGAAGAGTCCAATAAAGAAACCTGTAGAGAATTATGCCGACAATGATAGAATAGTAGCTTTCTGTATATACGAGAGCTTCGTTCTTTGGATTAATTTCTTGGTTGGAGCCTTAAAAATCATAATGGTTGTTAAAATACTAATGTAGAATTTAAAATATATCTATATGTAACATTTTGACGTGTTACACAATCGTTTTACCTAGCTACCATTTGACTTGTTCTCATACTATATAATATTGTTCACACACCTAACCATCATATAGATGGCAATCAAACCCTTAAAACTACATTTCTAAGAGCTAATAATATGATGCTGATGCTAAACCTCAGCACACCTCCTTGGAGAATATCCCAGCCTAGACCTTTTCATATCATACAGAATGTGAAAATTCTGCTGTAGTAAGTTTCCAATAATTGTGAAATGAGAGTGATGTGGACTTTCCAAAATTGCCAAGCAAATAACTTCATCCAGTTCATATTGGTAGAAATAGTTCTCTGCTGGGAAATTCCACACAGCCCCATCTTCAAAATGAATCCCAAAGTCAGGCAGCTCCACTTGCAGTGCTCCTGACACATTGTAACATGGAGCCATAATAAAATCATCTGCAGCAATCTGTTGCAGTTTAATGTTTTTCTCAAACGCTTCTTTGATGATACCATAAACTGGGTCAGGGAAGAAAGTCAAGGTAGAACCTGAATCAATAATTGTACCGCCACTAGCAGCACCTTCTGATAACCAATGCCAACTTTGTTCTGGAATGTCAAGCCTTTCCCCACCAACCATGATGGACTTTATTTGAAGATAGTAAAATGTATCATCTGGAGTTTCTTCTCCTGCAAGGAATGAAGTGAAGTTCATATTGTGGTTATTCAATAGCTCCTTGTCTTCACCAAAGACCAATTTGCTGCTAGTACTTGAGTTGCTGAATAGGTCAGTGAGACAATAAGAAAATGAGTGACCATAGATAGATTGAAGCTGTGAGAAAAAGGAAACAGGTCCTCTCCCAAGTCCCAACAACCCAGAAGCTCCATGAAAAAAGCCTTTGTTCCAATGACCACAACCAAACATCACATCCACTGCTGGCTTACACTTTTCCTTCCCATTAGGCCAGGTGAAGTTTACAGTAAATTTTTCTAACGCAAAATCTCCTGTTGTGTTTGAACCATCAGCATATTCATAGAAATAAGGACATGTTTGGTTTTCAACTTTGCAAGGCTGAAGAGGGTCCGGGGAAGAAACCAGTTGGCACAGGGGATCATAACAGCTTATGTTCCTGTAAGAGCTAGAGTTCTTGGGATTATAAAGGGGTCCGTTTTGTTCAAAACAATCATAACAAGGGTCACATTGAATCCAACTGAGGTCACTGCCAGTGTCAAGTATCAACCAGACATGCTTAGGAGGTGTTCCTACAAACATGTCTATGAAATACTCTCCTGTGCCAACAGAGGCCCCAGACTTTAAGGTTGCCATGATGCTACCTGAAAAATCATCTTTAGTAGATTCCAACGATGCTGTAAAAGCATTAGAAAGGCTGTTCTGCTGCTGGATGGAGACACTTTCCTTTTTCTCTGTGACTTTTCTATGAAGAGTCTGAATCCTGACCAAATCCCTGGTCGCTAAGTTCAGTGCAAGTGTTTTAGGCTCGTTGCCATGATTCATTGGCCTGCGCCTTAGGCGTAAGATTGTTGACCTTTGGTGAGCATTTTCTGATATATCATCGACTCCATCCTCTTCCTCGTTCAATCTAGTTGGTTCTGAACTAGTGGCTTTCGTGTAAGATTCTACGTTGGTGAGAGTTGGATCATTGGTGTGATCATTTTGAGAATCAACTTCAGTGTATGTTTTGAAAGTGACATAGAAAACTGAAAAGAGGACCAAAATAAGGTAAACTTTCATGATCACAGTACTTCTGACTCCTTTTTTGATGGCATATACAAGAAAAGTTAACAAAACAAAATTGAAGTTCTAATCCTAATGCCTATAAAATGCGAGTAGACAGTATTTTCTTTCAATTCCTTAGAGACAAGGAACAAAATCCAGAAACAGAACAACCTAAGACAACAATTCACTAGAAGTTGCTAAAACATAACTTATTTAAAGGTCTAAGGAAGAAACACGTATGCCAAACAAACAAATTAATGGGATCAATGAAGTTTTAGGCTTTTAACTGAAGATAGCTTTGCTTAGGTGATTTGATTGCAGTGTGAGAGTTAAAAGCAGGAGAAAGTGATAAGTTCAAGGTTGAAACTTTAGGTAGTCCGAATTTGGGGATCATGTTGGCCACACTGAGTTGACAAGGACTTTGAAATCAAATTTTGTAGGTAACTTAAGACAGGTGATATATTATTACTTTTATCAAATTGAACAATTTTGCATTGAATTTCTGCCAAAGGGTTTTCGTTGAGAAAGTCTCAGATTACAAAATTCCAAATTCAAACATCCCATTTAAGATTCTGTAATCTGCTTGTATAATTTATTACATAGTCCTAATACAAAAAACCAACATAGGACAAATGAAAATAAATAAACATTGACTTTAGTTCCTTTTTCTTGTTGTCACAAAAGCAAAACAGATACCTAATATTTGACTATTTCATGAGAAGAGCAAAGGTTTTCACACTGTTGGAAAGCCACTTCATTAGCTCAGATAAAATAATAATGCAGATAAAAGTTGCAGATTCAAGTTATGACAGCCATTTGATAACGTGTGAAGTTTTTTTGTGAGAAATGAGAGAGGCATTGAAATTTGTATGAAACATGCAAGGAAGGTCCATCTTGAAATGATATATCCCATATTAAAATTCTATGTGTCATGGTAGGTTAAAATGTGACATAATTCAAGCCAAGTGGGGGTTTTCATGTTGACATTTGAACCTTCCCCATTTCTTTCGCCAATTTTCTTGTTTTCTCATTTGGTATATTTCTGAATTTGACACATAAAATACACCAAAAAGTATTCTGATAAATATTAATGATAGTATCTTTCTTTGTTTATCCTTTGGATGCTTCTGAGTTTGAAATTTGCATAAAAGACAATGGTTTTAGTTCACAATGGTATCTATAACCTTTGAGGTTGGGATTGCGAAAAACTGACATATAATAGATTGGTTTGATCTGATTGGATATTTAAGTGAGAAATCGTCACTGTAATAAAAATAGTTGACATTAAAATTTAATTAAAAATTTATGTACATTTATAATCTTACTTTAAAATTTGACAGAATGATTTATATTTATTTTAAACTCTTTTATTTAAGAAAATTATAAGCAAATTTTATTCAAGAAATTAATAATTTTTTATTGAATACCTAACTTACTTAAGTTGAGTTTATACCTACCCACCATATCAGCTAATCAAATACTTATTTTAACTCCAAATTACGTTAAGGTCACAGTAATTTTAAGGAGTGGGAACTTGACAATTTCTTTTAGCCTCTTCATACATTTTTCTTGCACCTCCATGTGTGAGAAAAAGATCCAACTTATGTATAAGTTAGAAATATTTTGGATGATACAATTTAAAATTGAAAAACTATTCTAATTATTTGATTCGGAATATGTTTGTAGATTAAAATTTCAATTACATAGGTTAAAAATTTTAAAAATATTTTTGAAATTAAAAAAATATTTTAGATTATATAATTCAAAATAAATTTTAAAATCATTTAGTCCAGAATATATTTTTGTATTTTGAAATATATTTCAGATTATGCAATGAAATCTAAATTCCATTATAGAAAAATCTAAAGTATGGATATTTTAGACTTTTTCAACAGAACGAAACTATGGAGTGCAAATAGTAATTATTTGAGACCTACAGGTAGTTTCTTCTTATCCTCGTATAAAGAAATTTTCTATTTTATTTTTCCGATTGTGAAATCCAAAAAAGACAAAATGAAAAATTCATTTACATGTAGGTAGAAACTAATGGTGGTGCAAAAAGAATCTTTTTTTCTACAAAAGGGCCAGCCCAAAAAAAGAGCGCCGGTATCGCATTCTTCGAAACATTGCCGGAATATTAAACTATAACTAGGCAATTTTATGTAAAACAAAATTCATTTCTTCACATTCCTGCCTGAAAAAATGGCTGACAGAACTGGCATCGTTTCTGCTCCTTTCCAGCACCACGGTCTCCATCTCCGATTCTGATGGAAACGGAAAATTTATTATCTATTACTTAATTTTTTTTTACCAATTTCAAAATAATTCATTATAACAAATAATACTTCATCAACGTTTTTCTAAGAAACTCATACTTGAATTTAGATACAAAATGTATGAAATATTTCAAATAATTTTTATGAATTTGAAGCAAATGTTAGTAATTAGAATTTAATAAAAGCTTAAGAGAATTAGATAAATTTATTAACCTTTATATTCAAGAGATAAAAGAAATTTAAAATCAAGTAACCTACGTATGTGTACATTAGTATGAGTACGAAGAGTATGATACGTCTACCCTATGTCCGTTCGTTTAGGAGTTCTAGATTGATTTTTCTTAGGTTGAGTTCTTTGACATAGAGTTCTCCAATATTGAGTCCTTTTAGTGGATTTTTTCATTGAGTTATTTTTTGTTGAGTTTTTTTATATCAAACTTTTCGTGATAGAATCATTTTTAAATAAAGTTCATTAGCTGTCTAATCTAGACTGATAGGTTACAACATGACCGACCAGTTATAATATAATAAGATTAATAATGGTAGTGACGAATTAACCTCTTAATACAAATTAAAATATGATAGAGTCATGTTTATGTTGACAAAGTAAAGACTCATCACAATTAGTATATATAAAAGTTCAGGTATGATTTTAATATAATATATATTGATTGTTAATCATCTATTGACTTTAACATCGGAATACTTCTATATATATGACTTTAAACAACACTAGAAAGATGTTGAAAACTTACTTAGTCTACAACATAACCCGTCAAGTATCAACAAGTCGAACCAAAAAATTTCAAAAATGAATTTATTTTATATTTTATATTTTTATTATTATTCATTTACCGTGTTTTTAAAATATACACTAGTTTTATATATTAAAATTAATGTATTTTAACAGTTAAGTAAAAATACAATATTAAAAGTTCAACAGAAAATCTGAAACCGTTCAAAACTGTTTTTCAAATAACAAAAATCTATATTGAATTATTATAAATTGAAAAATAAATTGAAAAAAAAGTGAATCATCATATTTTTTCCCAAAAGTATTCTTAAATGTTCTGAAAATATACATAGAATTGAACTTTTCTTTATTCGAAGCTTTCTTTTTTATTCTCAAATCCATAACAACCGTTCATTTGTATTTTTTTTTACACGTCTCTGTAATGACTAATCGCTAGAAATCAGTGTTACACGAAAGCCAAACAAAAGCTGATAACACCAAAATAAAAATAATTATTTAAGTTTAATATAGTTCTGACCCATAAGAGTATTATTTTATTTATCTTAATTTATACAAAAATATAGTTTTATCCTATAGTATACTTAAGTATCTGTCGAGTTTAGTCTAGATACATTATTTTCTTAATTAAGTTAAGAAAATGCAGCCAACAGTGTAAAAGGAAAATTGGTTTTTAAAGGGAATCAAGTTTGTTTGATAGAATTTGGCTTACTATATGCAACAGATAAAGCGCAATACAGAAACAACTGGTCAGTTGTTGGCTTATCTTCTAAGCAATGAAGTGACAACATTCCATATGCTGCATAGTTTGACAGTGTATGAAGTTACTGATTGATAAATGAGAGAGAAGAATAGTGGGTGGTCCATATATTCTTCAATCAAGAACCACATCATCGTACATATGTTTATTCCATTGTTCAAGTATTTATTAGTAGCTTCGTTGCTTCCTATTTCCAACCCAAAGATAAGAAAAATAACACTGGTTTCTGGGTAAAGGCTATCTGCAGAAACAAGAAGATGTTGAGTTTAAGGCAGTCAAGTAAATTTCCTTTATGCCTCTCTTTCTTTCCATTGTAAATTTCAATCCATTTTTTGTTCATGCCCTTATTTTTCATGGTAACAAATATTCTTCTTCTTCTTTTCTGAACATAGGTTTTCCTTTCTCCAAGCCTGAGGGCAAATTCTCTACTGAAGGTACTGTTCGTTCATGCTTCTGTAATGTATCATAAAGTTATACATGCATTGGTTGTTAATAATATATGTTTTTTTTTTTACTTATTGCAGAGAGTCGATTGGCCTATGCCAAACTAGAGAAAGGTACTAATCCTCCAACAACATATAAATGAGATTAGGCTCTTACTTAGTTGATATTAATGATTCAAAATTATTAGTCTTCTTGTTTCTAATTTTATCATTCAATATATTTCATCATCATGTCATCGTATTGTGTTTTATCATCCATGATAATCATTTATTAAAACTTTAACATAATTTAGATTCAATTTCAGAAATACTCATGCATTGAGATAAATATTCATGCATGAATTTTCTTTACATTAAATTTAACATTAACAACATTTTTGTTATACAAAACTCACTATTCTTATTCCAAACCACCATGACAGAGTTAATTCTTTTTTGTCCTTTAAGTCACAATATTATTTATTGATTCGTAGACTGAAACTTCCTTCGACTCTCTACATAAACCTTATTCTCTATATGAGTATGAAAATATAGTATAATCATATGACTTCGTTCTCTAGATTCAAACTTAATGCAATCATACCTTATGGAATATACTTCTTTTTAAAAATGAACATATTAATAAAATTCTCACAATCATAATATATTGGGTTAAATATGTTTTTAGTCCCTAAACTATTGGTCGTTTCTGGTTTTCGTCCCTCTTTCAAAGTAAGGTACAATTTGGTCCTCATTCTTTTCGAAACGTTCGTTTTAGTCCTCGGAACTTTGGTTTTAGTTCTCATTTGTTGTTAAATGAGGACCAAATTTTTAAACAGTGTTTAGTTTTCGAGGACTAAAACGAACGTTTCGAAAAGAATGAGGACCAAATTATACTTTACTTTGAAAGAGGGACGAAAACCAGAAACGGCCAATAGTTTAGGGACTAAAAACATATTTAACCCTAATATATTCATATCATATTATCTCATAGGTTTGTGGTGCTGAAGCCTAAATTCTATTCATTCTCACGCATACACCTACTCCAAAAATTCTCATATCATCTATTCTCATTAAGTCATAAAAAGTCGTCATAAAAAATTTCATATCACATTAATCAAGTTACAATCATATATTAATAATTCAACTCATTCTTTAATATTAAACACAAATAAACCTATAAGACTCTAGTTTCAGATACGTATACATACGATGTCGATGTTTTTGTAAAGCCTTGTACTTGTCATAATGTTTTAATACAATAGATTCAACATCAACAACGATACTTTTTCTTTTACTTTTAATTAAACAACTCTATATGGAGACCTAACTTTTACAATGAAATGTGAAAATTATTTCTTTTAGCATAAACAATTAATTATAAATCTTATTGGTCTATATTTCAATAATACTCTATAAAAATTGTAGCGTACTATAATGGTTTGTGTTATTGTGATCACAATTTTATCAAGATAACTTAAGAAGAAAAACTAGTTGACACTTTAAGTTATTATTTAATTTTTACAAAATCTTTTTTATTTATAATTTATTAATTTACTTATAAAATTATATTTAAATAAAAACTTAAATATAATTAACATAAAGGAGAATGTCACATAAAATCTCTTTATATTACACGTAATATTTGTCCTATCTCATTCAAATACCAATAACACTTAAAATAAACTTAAAGATTCATATATCAACTCTCATCTATTTACACTCACTTCAAAAGTAGCAATATAACTCTAAATGGGAGGAAAAATTAGAAATATCTAAAAATCTAAAAAAAAGTTAAGTTATGCTACCTGGCCAAAAAAATATAGTGACCCAGAACTAAATTAAAGAGAAAACGTTCTCTAATGATTAAACATGTGAATTCTAAAGATACCTACAAATAAAACTTCAAAAAAAAAGTAAAAGAACTTAATAAATGAAAAACTTATTTTAAAAAAAATTCTGATCAGATTAGATATGATTGATTTATATATAGTGATCTCCTAAGTAATAAACTATGCTCGGAAAGAAAAATGATAGGAATCAACTTCAAAAACTTAGAAAGTATAAAGTATATGGATAATACGAAAAATGAAGTTTTAAAAATAAATGATTAAATAGTTAAAATTTTACTTTATATTTAATTTAAAACTTTAACATTTGTCTCATTGAAAAGTATGGATTCTAAAATATAAAAACCAGCTCTTATATCAAACACAACACACAATAAAAAAAAATGTTATATTAAAGAAATGGAATTTTTTTAATAAATATAAAAAATATTTCACGGATAATCTTATAAGATATATATAAGAATACGTTAAACATAAATAAAATAACATAAATATGTACATATTCAAAAAATTACCTAAAATATGTCCAAGTTTATTTTTTGGGTTAAATATGTTTTTAGTCCCTAAACTTTGGTAGTTTCTGGTTTTCGTCCCTCTTTTAAAGTAAGGTACAATTTGGTCCTCATTCTTTTCGAAAACGTTCGTTTTAGTCCTCGAAAACTAACACGTTTAAAAAGTTGGTCCTCATTTAGCAACAAAATGAGGACTAAAACCAAAGTTTCGAGGACTAAAACGAACGTTTCAAAAAGAATGAGGACCAAATTGTACCTTACTCTGAAAGAGGGACGAAAACCAGAAACGACCAATAGTTTATGGACTAAAAACATATTTAACCTTTATTTTTTTATATATAACTGCCATCACATAAAACTGAATAAGAAAAAAAAAGAGAGAGGAAGATATAAAGAAGTTTATTCTTTTAAAAATAATATTTTCGTATTATTTTGAACCAGGACATGGTTGAGTGAACTCAATTAACATATTGATGCGTGCTTTAATATCTTTTATCTATATAACTTAATTGCAAAATCTTATGTCATGTCTTTTTACTGATTGTAGAGTGGTCCCAGCTTATGAAATCGCTTCCAGGTAATAATCTTGCTTTCACCATTATAATATTATTCAAAGCATAATATATACATGTTTACTGTTTTATTTAGAAATTACACACATATTTCTAATTGTTATTTTTGGTTTATATGATATATTAAAGATAGTTCATTATTCTTAGGCCTATTATATAAGATATAATAAAAATATTTCATATTTTGTTTACCAGTATTTGATATTTTAATTTTTTGATTTAGACTATAAGTTAAATTAAAAATCTTCTTGCAATGTTATATACTTATACTCAACACTACCTTCATAACAAGATTGAATTATCATTCGAAGTACTACGGATAACATTGGATCAAAGTGGATAGAAGGTATATTTGTAGTCACGTAATAATGTAAAAACAAATACTCGTAGGGTATTTGAGAAAAAAATGCTTTGTGAATTTTTTTTATATCCAACCAACAGATCAAATAAATTTATTAAAAAGATTCTTTAAAATGTAAACCCATATAAAAATAATTTTAAAGTATAGTTCAAATAAAATTGCCTAATATAATAATAATGTAAAAAAATTGAGTTTCCTAAAAGCAAATTCAAATAAATTGTATGCATAATTTAAGTTTTAAAAAATAAATTTGTTTAAAACAAATTCAATGTTATATGTGTAAATAAAAAATTACATATATAATCAAAATATGATATTAATCAAATCATTAGTAGAAGGACACAAAATATATATATATAACTATCAACAATTTCTTTATACACAACATTTTTATTCGTATTGTGTATTATTACTATTTGCATCATTATCTACTCATACATAACATCAAGTGGAAGAATAAAAA